TACACAGATAAGATGAAAATATTGAATGCAGACCCAGTTAAGTTTACCTTCAGTGCATTTAAATGGTAGTACAATTTAAGATAGAATAAAGATTTACATAAGTATTTCTTTAATTTATATCTTAATGGCTAACATGAGTTGCACAAAAAAAACCCTGTTTTAGATTACTTACATGTTTAGAAGTAACTGACAGAGACACAGAATTTTGAAATTGATAACAAGCTTAGTGAATATCTATTTCAAAAGCAGTTTAAAAGATTTTAACATACAACTTAGAGTTTAAGTGGGTTTTCCTGAGGTCATAAAAATTGGCATAATGTTTTATATATGTGTGTATATGTAAAACCCTTAATTATTAATAAATGTTTTATAGTTTTTTATAAAATAGTTTTTAAAAATGTTGTTAGAATTATTTTTACTTTTTAACTCAACCTAAGAGTTCTTAGAATTAAATCTTAGGGTTTCTTAAGAACAAATTGGCCTTCCATTGTTGTTTTCTTAGTTTTGGTAATGATATATCTATCTTGTGATTAAGCTATTTTAATACATTAGACTTGTCACAGTTGTAAAGAATTTAATTAGATATTGAAGAAAATAGAATTCTTTGTCTCAGATGAGTTGTTGCAGCAGACAGCATGGGAAAGATGGTAGGAGGAAATAGGTCAAATACTGCTTTAGTAATCAGAGTTGAGAGGTCAGTTTCTTTTGGTGCAGTGAAATTAGAACTGATTAATTGGCCTACTTCTTGGTAACTGAACCATTGTGACATTATGACAGAAAAGGAATATAAAAATAAAACCACCAATGAGTTTTATGTTTATGTTTTTATAGGAGTATAGATTGATTCATACAATATTACCCTAGTTTGAGAAAATCTTATATGTCAAGCCTTGAGGAACAAAGATGAAGAAATATAATTGTCTTCTTCATGAAGAGCTCAGCATCTAATAGGAGAGGAAATAGTGAAAAATATTTACAAGGTTGTGTCCGAATTGCTGAAATTCAGTTCAAGGTACAAAAAAATGTATAAAACAAGGGATAATATTTTTATGAGATATCAGAGAAAACCTTGCAGAGGAGCACATGAAGTAGCTCTTAAAACGTAGATTGAATTTGGAGGACTAGAAGGTACAGTACTATTGTGGGCTGAGAAAACAGCTTGCAAGAACAGAGTGAGACATAGCACATTGAGGGATACTTAAAAAAGGAAAGAGAAGAAGGAAGGTTAAGAAATAGGCCATAATGGGCCGGGGAATTAGCTCAGTGGTTCTGCTGCCTGCCTTGAAAGCGCAAGGTCCTGAGTTTGATCCTTGGTACCCCCCTCCCCCCCTTAGAAAAAAGAAATAGGGCAAAAAAGAAGATAGGTTGCTATCTCATTGAAGGACTTCTACACCCATTTTTTCAGTGGTCCACCAATCAACTGTGAGATGTCAGTAGATTTACTGTGTAGAGGGATTGGAAACAGTGAAACAAAAGGCATCAGTGAGTAATCTGTTGGGTAAACCAGGTGAGAAATAATGTAGCAGCATAGTGGAGAAGATGGGAAATCATAGGCAGAATCAATAGGATTGATAATCAGTTATATACAAATGTAGGAAATGATTCTCAAGTTTTCCTTGGATGTTTGCGTGGGCAGTGGTGTCATTGGAATATGGAATCGGGTTAGTTTTGAATATATTGATTTTGAAATACAGAGCTTTCTGAATTACAAATAGTAGTAGAAGTGGAAGATACGGTTTTGGTGAAGTAGTGTATGCAGGATGAGAGGAAAAAAGGGTCAAGAAAGCATATGTCACTCTTCAGGGTTCAGTAGAAGAATAGCATACAAAGTAACTGAGAAGGAACTAGAGAAGAACCAGGAGAGTTAAGAATATATGTTAATATTTGTTTATAGAGTGGTAATTTTGTGTTAAAACCTTGTCTTTCTAATGTATCATAATCTGTAATTTTAATTATAAAATCTCAAGTCTCAAATCTTAAATTTATTTCATATTTGGAATTTTTAAATAAGAACCATGTATGTAAACACGCCATACACACATGTGCACACACACACACACATATACTACAGATGTTAGCTGTTGCTGTAACAATGATACCGTAGAGTAGCCCAGAAAGGGAATATTATGATCCTTATATAGATAATCAAACTAAAGTAATTTGTTTAAGGATTCATGGCCAGGATAGAACTTATTGGCTCCTACCAGACAGTGGTGCCTCCTACACATAAGTTGAAATCAGAGCACACCTATGAATTTATTTAATAATGTTTCTCATTTCCAAATTCTTTTTTTTGGGGGGGGGTACTGGGGATTGAACTCAGGACCTTGTGCTTCCAGGGCAGGCAGTGGCACCACTGAGCTAAATCCCTGGCCCCTCTGAACTCTTTTTATAAATGTAGCTGAAACTAACAGTTTAAAAAGGTATCATACCAGAATGGAGTTATAGCTGAAACTAAAAATTTAAAAACATCATACCAGAATGGAGTTAATTCTTTTTGCTCTTATTTTCTAAAATTTAACAGTAGGTTTTCTAGATACAATTATTTTTCAACTTTTAAAATGTTATGCATGTAGTTGGTGTTTAATACATTATTTTGTTATTTTTTAGTTTTAACTTTTTGATCATGATTATAGCCTTTCATCCTATTTCTTTAATATTTGTCTGGTATTAGAGGCATTTTAACTGCTACATGAATATTAGAGTTTGTTTTTGATAAGACTAAATTTTGAAAACGGTGAATTAATGTTTATTTGATTCTCTGTTTTCTACTAAAGTAATCTGCAATTTTCAGGATTCTTTAGAAAGGTAAATATACCTCATTAGACATGTTATTCTTTACTTCTAGTTAAAGCCAGTACTGAAGACTCTTGTGATACAGCTTTAGGACATGATGCAATGTTATATTCTCAATTTTCATAGGAATGGGAATGAATGTGTGTGTCTCTTTAAAAAAAAGGCATTTTGTCCTTTTCTTCTAATCATAAAAATTCCAAGGAAAGGTGGGGTGGTAGAGATAAGTAGGAAGTAGCAAATCCTGAATTCTACTCTTAAGTTTTTCCAATAACTATAAAGGTGGCCTGGGTCTGTCCTTTCTGTGGTAACAATGAAAAATAAGATGATGAAAAAGTTTCCTTCTGACCTATTGAATTTTTAAATTATGATGACCTGGGAAAATAGGCTGATCACATTACTTCTGTGCTTGACATGGTTTCAATGTAAATAGGTTAGTACGATGGAAAACCTGTTTGTTTAGGGTAAATCACTAAGGTAGGTGATCTTCATCTTGAAGGGAGATAGTGTACTAAAAAGATCTCTTTTACCTAGTTAACACCTATAAGAAATACAAAACTCCCCACTTTGCAACTTGAAATAATATTTTCTGCCAAAAGTTAAACACTTTCAGATTTTAGTCTTCAAAACATATTTAAAATTAAAAATTACTTACTTAGTGAATATAATCTCTTATGTAAAATGGAATTGAAATTAAAATTTACTAATAAATCTCCCATCTTGTTTTTCCTCTTCTAAAACTTCTTGTGTTCTCAGTGTCATCCATGGAACCAGGTTACTGTGAAAAACTGGAAAGTTGGGAAACTTATGTGTATAAAAAATGGCTTACCAGTGTTACCTAATAGAGTTTTTGCAAAAATTGAGATAATTGATATAAGTAGATTATTAGTGTAGTTCCTGACATGTGATAAGTAACTCAGCTAGTGTTAGCCATTAGTAGGGTAGAGAAACTTTAAATTAGACTATATGTTGACTTATAAATAGGAAGTTAAACAGGGTAAGTACATTAATTCTTTTTGAGAGAGATCAGATTAAAACTTGACAGAAATGTACTTCCTGTGCCCTACCCCACAAAGTAGAACATATATTTTGCTCATATTCTAGAGCTCATACGTCTTAACAGCTTTCTCAAACTACTCTACACGTACCACCACTACCATCACATGAGTTAGACTAATGCAACCTGGGTAAATTAATCATAAAGTTAATTGTTAATTTCTAAGTCTCTTGCTCAGAGAAACAAAACCTGGCTAAGTTTTGGTAAATTTAAAGGATAAGTGACAACATGTTTGTGCCATTGAGCTAGTTTTATTTCTGGTTTTAAGATTTAATTTCAATCTCATATGTCAGGATGTATTATCTGACTTTAAAAACTTGACTTTTATTTGAGTAATTGTGGCAGAATAATTTAATCTAATCCTCATCATTTATACCAAAAGGACATCTGATACAAAGCAAAAACGGATTTTCTTCCTGAATAATTTTAAAATTTTAAACAAAGAATTTTCTTCCCAATGTAACGAGCAGACTTTTGTTGAAACCTAATACTGGTGAATTATCACTTTAATTCAGATAGAAGAAATTAAAATAGCTGGAATGGCACTCCTAAAGAATCTATCTATCTATTTAGGTACTGGGGATTGAACTCGGGACCTTGCGCTTGTGAGGCAGGTGGCAGAACCACTGAACTAAATTCCTGGCCCAAGAATGTATTTATTTCAATGAAATTTCTTCATGTTGAATCAAAAGATGATGAATTCACCATTTAGCCTAACAAAATTTAGGAGAAAATATTAGGCAAAGAATTTCATTTAACAGTAAACTATAAGGCTATTACTGTGCTTGTTACCAGGAGTAAGGAATTGAAGATAGTAGAAAATTTTGGTTAGGGGACAAGCCCATAGTGTGTAGTACAAATTAGCAAGGCTATACCATAAAAGAAGGTGTGTAACAGGAGTGGAGGAAAACACATTCCTGAATTCAGATTGAGCCTAAGGATAGTCTAGATTCTAGTAGAAATCATGTGGATAAATGTTTCAGAGTTTACCTTAAAAAAGAATGCAAAGTAATTGGGACTTAAATTTGATGAATTATGATGGGCAGGGTGTTAAGTCGATTTCCCTATGAGTTAACTAGAACTTTTGAGATAGTTTTATTCTGGAAGAATTATGTAAACTTTCTAATTATGTTTTCTTCAATTTATTTAGATCAGCTGTTTCATGTATTAGCCTTACACATGCGACTTTATAGCATTGACTCTGAGTATAATCCTTGGAAAAAGCTCACCCAGTTAGTAGAAGATATGAATTCACAGTAAGTATTATTGAAAGATTAAAATCAGTTAACATTCTTTTTGAAAAAGTTGTTAAATATAAAAATAAGATCGAATTTTCTATATGAATACATAAGTACCTCACATTTTATGAAACATGTATGTATAGAATAAAAATTGAAAAATTACCATAATGCTGTCTGTAAAAATTTCATAAAAATTCCTACCAAGTGAGAAAATCTGTTAATCCCCCTTTTTTATTTTTATTTTTGTTGGTACTGGGGATCGAACTCAGGTCCTTGTGCTTTCGTGGCAGGTGGCGAAACCACTGAGCTAAATCCCCAATCCCCCTTTTTTATGCAGGTGAAACATTTAAATGGAAGCATATGATACGTGCTTTTCCTTTCTGTGTCAAAACTGATTAATGAGTTCAGATAACCTTAGTCTGATACCTTCCTTATAAAGTTTGCCATTAGTTCTTCACCTAATGGTTTTAGCAAACCTCTAATGATTCTTAGCTAAATCCATTATTTCATTAGGTGCCACAAAATTGTAATTTTAAAAAGTCTTGGGCCGGGGATTTAGCTCAGTGTTTCCGGCGCCTGCCTTGCAAGTGCAGGGTCCCGAGTTCAATCCCTGGTACCAAAAAAAAGTCTTTCCTTTTGTTTTATTAGCTGAATTAAAAAGTTTTAAATTTTATTTTATTAGTATATGTTTTCAGTTCATCCAGTTTCTAATCATCTTGGGGAGTGGTTACGTGTATATACCAGAGCTTGTGTATTATTTTTTTAAATCCCCTTCTTCCTCCCTCCTCCTCTAATTTCCCTAATCCATTTTTTATTCTTGTTGAATTAGCTTATGTTATGGCATATAACATATTGAGGTTATTAGGTTCCTATACCTGGCATATCTTTATTCTACTTGTTTGCCCTTCCCCTCCTTCTCATCCCTTGTACTTTTTCCCTTGGATCACTTACCTATTGAAGAGATCCATCTCCTTGTATCATTCTACTCATCCTTTATTATTCTCTTTGTTTGTACTTTGCTTCACTCAAATGAGAGATACCATATGGTATTTAAGCTTGTATGCCTGGCATATTTCACTCAACATTTTATTTTCCAGGTGCATCCATTTTCCTACAAATGTCTCAAATCTGTCATTCTTCATAGCAAATTATTATAATTAAATATTATAACAGATACCACATTTTCTTTATCCAGTCATATGTTGATGGGTAGATGGGTATATAGGCTGTTTCCAGGACTTAGCTATTATGAGTTGTCCTGCTATAAACATTGGTATGTATATATTGCTGTAGTATGATATCTTAAGCTCTTTGGGGAAGATACCTAGTAGGGGGATCCCAGGATCATATGAAATTTCTAATTTCAGTTCTTTGAGAAATCTCCATAATGATTTCCATTACACTTCCACCAACAATGAAAGAAGGTTCCATTTTCACCACAGCCTTGCCAGCATTTGTTATTATTTGATTTCTTAATGATTGCCATTCTTTCTGGAGTAAGATGAAATCTTAGTGTTGTTTTAATTTACATTTCTCTAATGTTTAGAAAATCCTTACCTACACCTATCTCTTCAGGTGTTTTACCTATTTTATCTTTTAGTAGGTTTCATATTTCTGCTTTACTGTTTAGATCATTGATCCATTTTTATTTTAATTGAGTATCTGGTGAGAGTTAAGGGTCTAGTTTCAGTTTTCTGCACACAGATAACCAGTTTCCCCAGCACCAGTTATAAATAAGCTATCTTTCCTCCAATATATGCTTTTGGCCCCTTTGTTGAAGATCAAATAGCTTAATGTGTCTGAGGAAGTTTCTGTATCCTTAATTCTGTTCCATTGATCCACATATTTGTTTTTGTTCCAATACCATGCTGTTTTTATCACTATAGTTTTGTAGTATAGCTTCAAGTCAGGTATTGCTATGCCTTCTGCTTTGCTGTTATTGCCCAAAATTACTTCTGGTATTCTGGATCTCTTCTGGTTCCATATAAATTTTAGGACTTTTTTCCTAGATCTGTAAAGTATGCAGTTAGTATTTTGATTGGGACTGCATTGAATCTGTATAATAATTTTGAGAGTATGGTTATTTTGATAATATTGATTCTGCCTATTCAGGAGCAAGGGACATCTTTGTGTTTTCTAGTGTCCTCTTCAGTCTCCTTTTCCAGAGTAGGTCTTTCACTTCCTTGGTTAGGGTCATTCCTACATATCTCATTTTTCTTGAAACTACTATGAATGGTATTATTTTCATAATTTCCTTCTCATCCCATTCATTGTTGGTGTACATAAATGCTAATGATTTTTGTGTGTTGATCTTATATCCTGCTATATTACTGGAGTTTGTTAATAATTCTAAGAGTTTTTTGCTGGAATTCTTTGGGTCTTCTATGTAGAATATCATGTCATCTGCAAATAATGATAATTAGAGTTCTTCCTTTCCTATATGTATCCTTTTTATTTTTTCTCTTGCCTAATTGCTCTGGCTAATGTTTCAAGTACTATATTGAAAGAAGAGGTGATAGTGGACATCCCTGTCTTGTTCCTGATTTTAGGGAGAATGCTTTTAGTTTTTCCCCATTTAGTATGATGCTGGATATTGGTTTGTCTTATATAGCTTTTATCATATTCAGGTATGGACCTTCTATAGCTGTTTTCTTCAGGGCTTTATCATGAAGGGGTGTTGGATTGTGTGGAAAGCCTTTTCTGCATCTGTTGAAATGATCATATAATTTTTGATCTGTTTATGTGACGTATTGCATTTATTGACTTAATGTATGTTGAACCATCCTTGCATTTCTGAAATCTACTTGATCACAATGTATGATCTTTTTGATAATGCGCTGCATTCTATTTACTAATACCTTTTTGAGGATTTTTGCTTCTGTGTTCATTAAGGAGATTTGCTTATAGTTTTCTTTTTTAGTTGGGTCTTTATCTGGTTTTGGGATCAAGATGATTCTGGCTTCCATAAATGAGAGCCCTCCATCACTTTGAATTTCTTTGAAGAGCTGGAGGAATATTACTGTTATAACATCCACCATAAAGGTTTTGTAGAATTCAGCAGTGAATCCATCAAGCTCTGGGCTTTTTTAGTTGGTAAATTCTTTATTACTTTAACAATTTCATTGCTTATTATTGGGTTGTTAAGTATATTTATGTCTTCTTGAATTTACTTTGATAGTTTGTATGTATATAAGAATCTTCATTTCTTCAATACTTGCTAATTTGTTGGAGTATAATTTTTTGAAGTAGTTACTATCTTCTGGATTTGCATGGTGTCTGTTGTGATTTCACCTTTTTCATTTGTAATTGCGTTGATGTGAATCTTTTCTTGCTTTCTCTTAGTAAGACTGGCTAGGGGCTTACTTATGTTATTTATTCTTTCAAGAATCAGCTTTTCAATTTTTTGGGTTTTTTTTTTTTTTTACTTTTTTTTATTCTCAATTTCATTGATTTCTGCTCTCATCTTTATAATTTCCCTTCTTAATTTTGGTTTGGGGCTGGTTATTGTTTCTCAAGTAGCTTAAGATTTCTCATATGGCTATTTGAGCTTGCTCTGTTTTCCTAATGTGAGCATTGATTATAATGAATTTTCCTCTTGAAATTGCTTTCATAGTGTCCCAGAGGGTTTGACGAGTTGTGCCGTCATTGTCATTAACTTAAGGAAATTTTAAAATTTCTTTTTTGACTTTTTTCTGTGACCCATTGGTTATTTAGGAGTAATTATAAAAATTCCTGTGACTGGGCATGTGCTGAGCATTCGCCTCCAATGCTCACTAATCAATTTTTATTTTTCTGAGTTACTGGTATGTTATTAATTTTCCAGGAGTTTTTGCCTTTTCTAAAATTTCTTCTGTTGTTGATTCCTGTTTTCATTGTACAGTGATCTGATAGTATGCTTGGGGTAATTTCTATTTTTTAATTTTATTTACTTAAGCAGGCTTTGTGGGCTAGTATGTCATCTATTTTGGAAAAAGTACCATGTACTGCTGAAAAGAATGTATATTTTGTTGTAGAGGGAAGGAATGCTCTGCATATATCACTTAAGTCCATGTGTTCAAGGATGTAGTTCAGCTATGAAGTTTCTTCCTTTTTTGTTTGGATGATCTATATCTTTGTTAAAGTGGGGTGTTAAAATCCCCTATGATTGTGTTAGTGTTCATTTGATCTTTTAATTTCAGAAGTTTTTGCTTTATGAGATAAATGCTCCAGTATTTGGTGCATTTATATTTATCCACATCATCTCTTCTTGTTGGATTGTTCTCTTAACTAGTATATAATGATCTTCTTTGTCTCTTCTAATCAGTTTTAGCTTACCATGTCTGATAATTAGAATTGCTACCCCTGCTTATTTTCAGGGTCCTGGTGCATGAATATTGTTTTCCATTCTTTAATCTATGAATATCTTTTGGGTTTAGATGAGTTTCTTGAATGCAGCAGATTGTTGGATTCTGGTTTTTTGATCCAATCTGCCATTCTGTGTCTTTTAATTGGAGAGTTGAGGCCATTAACATTCAGAGATATTACTGAGATGTGTTGTTTATTTACTATCATTGTCTTCTTTATCTGTTGACGTATCCTTTTTCTTTTCCTGATGTTTTTTGTTACTGTTTATCCATTGACCTCTCTAGTTTCCTGTGTGTTTTCATCTGTGTCTGATTTGTTGTTTCTGTTGAGAATATTCTTAAGTATTTTCTAGAGCTGATTTAGCACTCATATATCTTCTGAGCTGGTTGAAGAACAGCTTTGCTGGGTTGGAAGTTATTTGTCTTAGGGCTTGAAATACTTCATTCCAAGCTATTCTAGCCTTTAGGCTTTGTGTTGAGAAGTCTGCTGTGATTCTAATTGGTTTACCTTTATATTTTATTTTTTTGTTTTTTGTCTGGCTGCTTATAAAATTCTTTTTTTCTGGAAATCTGATAATTTAATAAGGATATGCCTTGGTGAACTTCTGTTTTTGTCACAATTGTTGAGTGTTCTATAAGCATCACTTGTATTTTTAATGCTTTTCTTATATT